ATGTACTGTACAGTACAGTATCTCCAATTATGTAATGGAAGTCAGTAGAAAAATTGCATGCACTTTAAACAATTCTGACATACAAATGTTTTTTCAAGAACACAATCCTTTTGTAAATTGAGGTATGCCTTTAGATAAATCATGCAGCCAATTTTTTTTATAATTTGTAAGAGGTCCCTAAATTTATGTACTTCCTTTGTAAACATTCCCGACTTCATTTTTCATATGTTGTGTTTTCCTGATTCACAATTAATTTTGCAGGTTTCATTTCTTTAGCTTTATTTGATATTCAGCTGTAATATGCCCAAACATCACCATTAGGATTAAAACTAACTGGAATGGAACTCATATGACCAAACTGCTTTAACATTACTGTACTGAACCAAGTTTCCTTTTTGCCTTATTTCTTGCTTTACTACACCTTACAATTTGAACTGTGCCTTTGCCTTATGCTTTGCCCTTGCTTTACTTGATTTGAATTTGTTTCGACTTTCCTTTATCTTTTTTAATCCTTATGTTATTTTCCCTTACAGTACATCAGTGCTGTATCATTGTAATCTAATGTTGCTCAACATTATTTTATCATATTTTAACTACTTAAAATTGAAAATGGCTGCTTCATGAGATTTCTTAGCTTCATTTCTTTGCCTCTTTTAAGCCTTTCTCTGCCTTAAATGCATTAAGGCTAGAATAACACACACACACACACACACACACACACACACACACACACACACTCACTCACTCACTCCTCCACTCACTCACCACTCACTCACACACACACACACACACACACACACACACACACACACACACACACACACACACACACACACACACACACTCACTCACTCACTCACTCACTCACTCACTCACTCACTCACTTTTGTGCCTTCAACCTTGTACTGCTGTATTGGCTTGTTCTGTTATTGTGCTAACCTTATACAACAAGGCTCTAATTACTCAACCTGTATCCATTTGGTTTACCTGTCTCCATATGAATCCAGCACTATCCTTCAGAAGGTTGCCTTCCCTTAAAAAATAATCACCTGAGAACATGCTGTCTTCATTGACTACAGTACCTAGATTTTATATACAATACTGTATCAATACAGTAGAATTAGTCACCAATGCATGTACTGCCATCCATCTCCCCACAGCAGTGTGTGTCAAACCCCAAAGAAGAAAATCTTAAACATTTGATGTGAGATTTTATAAGAATTCTTGAAAGTGGAAGAATGGGTGGATGCAGGAGACTGCTAAAAGAGCCAAGTGAGTGCTTGTGAAGCTTTTAAATAAGATGGAAATCTTTGTTGTCTTCACTACTCCATGGAGGAAACTGTAGAGAGGACAAGGAGCTGCTTTATTTAGTTTAACATAGGAGGCATAAAAGGAATACACTGTAATAAAAGATGGGAGAAGGGGTTCTGGAGTTCTTCCCTGAGCAGGGGTGCTGAGGGCCACAAATGTAATAGTGTACTGTACTTATAATTTGGTGACCAGGAAGTGGCTATTCTTTAGCTTGGTGGAAATTGTGCGTAAGTGATAAGACACAACACTAAACTTTAAGATAGTCTTTTTATATACAGCAACTACAAAAATACAGTACAGTAGTACCCCGATTTACGCGGTCAATTGAACCCACAGGATACAGCGTAAAGTGAAAACCGCGTAAAGTGAAAACCGCGTAAAGTGAAAACCGCGTAAAGTGAACAACAGAACATATGGGATTAATTCCAATAGAGACTGGCCTGACCCCAAACTCCACTTTTTGACGACACACAACTATGTTGTAGTAAAAATATTATCTTAACTTTATGATGGTATGCACACACAATTAATAATTAGGAGAAATCTCAATAATATTAGTTTTTTTAACACTTACATTAGTAGAAAAGATGGCTGGGCACACAGGGATGGGGGGTTGGTTCTGAGGCAGAGGGCAGATTATTGGCCCTCACCTGTATCACTTGTATCAATTGTATCACTATCCACCACATATAAGTCCATATCCTCACTATCACTGACTTAGGCCGGCTGTGGTGGGTGGCGGGTGAAGAACTCGGTAATGTTTTGATGACTGGGCGACCTTGTGCGCATCCTGCCTGTGCCGCTTTCCGCGTATATGAGTAGATGCACCGCGGAAAGTGAAAGTTCGGTTCTGGCGAGGCACCGCGTAAATGAGAAATCGCGGAAAGTGAAACCGCGTAAAGCGGGGTAATACTGTACAAGTATTGTAATTGGTTTGACGTTATAGACATAATGTATAGTTAAGAATGAAAAGACTGGTTGGACATCTGCGCATTTGTGTACATGTACATTAGACTTAATGAACAGGACAATTTAAGTACAGTAGTGAGTTTTAACTATACTTGCTGTGTAGATATAACACACAAGTTCTCGGATAGGTGAGGTAATTAGCATTTTGTCATTGTTGTGCAGAGTTATGGCCCCATGGACTATATAGAAGTGGGGAACTTTTTGGCTGCTTCTATTGATAAACACTTGTCCACTTTGTCAGTTAATAAGTTGTGGTTTCTTTTAATCCAGTCTTTTGTGCCAAGAACCTCTGTGGATTATCTCTTTTCATACTACTGTACTGTATGTTGGATACTGTATATTTTTTTGCTTAGGCCATGAAATATTGACTTTTTTTAAATTGTTCCCTTTTCAACGTAGGGCCTGAAAAGAGGTTTTACAAAAATTACGCTCCAGAGAGATGTGGTGTGTATAAGTTTGTGAGACTGTACTGCTGCTGCCACCTTCCATACCAGATGTAGGCCTTCACACAGTCCAGCTGTTCTGTTACTGCTTGTGAAGTTACCGCTCATTGTGTAAATGTGCTACATTTATCTTTGACAAGAGAAGATTTTAAGGCTTTATTTAGTGAAGGTACACCAGTTAAATGTGATGATAATGACATTTGTAGGAACTGGAGAAGGGTGACTGCATGGTGCAACTGTTGGGTGCAGAATCATTCAACACTCATGTTTAAATGAATTGTACAGAACCATATACTAAATGTTGGAATTAATAAGAATGGTGAGTAAAGATGAGGCTACAGCATAGCTGGGAATAACAGCTCAAAATTTATCATGAAGGTTGAATGATAAATAATTTAATTGTAGGGTTTATAGACATTGGACTCAAACTATCCAACAAGGAACTAACTCGTAACAATGGTTTTAAATTAGACAAATTGATCACTGATTTTTACTGAACAGTGTTTTGGTCAGGGCACTGGCAGCCTTGGTGCTGGAGCTTTAATGTTCAACTCACATTAACTGCCTTAATTGTTGAATTGAACTGGGGAATGTGGTACTACTTGTTTGTTGGTGTTTCAAAGCTTAAGGCTTTATTCACAATACATCACTTAATAACAATGTTACTAGCAATTTTTTGTATTTAATTGAAGTCTTATATTGTAAGTTTTTAATCTTATATGAGCTAAAAGCTATTACAGTACAGTATCTCTTTCATTGATGATTGGCTTGAGTGAGCCCCAGTCCTGTTTGGCTCCAACCTGACCTAACCATTAGGATGAAGGCTTACTCTTGATTGACCACATTCTAATGTTTACAGTACAGTAAGTAGGCTGGGACCCTTTTGATCCACAAATGGTATCATCATCTAATTTATTAATATTTCATGTTGAAGGTTTTTGTTTGCCACAGGTGCCTTGATATGAACAGTTAGACCAAATGTTGGCAGCTATTGTCTTGCAACTATGTCCAGCTACATAATCAAACCTCACTAATTGAATTTTGAAAAGTACAATAGTATCTTCTATTGTACCATCTCTGATATAAAAACAATAATGGATAAACTCTGTTGAATTGATGAAGTGTGGGAGTCATTGTTTCTCCTCTTTCACTTGTATTCTGTGCTTGTGCATTTAATTACTTAAGTATCCAGATCTTGTCAAGGCTGTATTTTCATAATTGGCTATTTCACAGATACGGCCTGGGACTTTCTTGCCAGTAATATTATGACGTGGTAGGAGAATGAACCAAATCTGGTAGGAAAATGAAAATGCTCTCATATTGAAAAGGTTTAAATAATTTCATTGATCCCTCAACTCAGGTTAAGTGTGACTGAATAACTTGGAATCTATACATGACCTGAATATTGTATTGGCATTAATATCAAATTCACTTTGTTCACCAAGGTGACTTTTTCTACAAAGACTCTGCCACATTCAATAGTTGACTAGCAGAGTCCTATGTGGACCTTAACCCATGGTTATTGTGGTTTTCATTACCTTTTTTTTGTAACAAAATATTTTGATAGGACTGGTAATACTTACGGTATGCTTTCATGTGATCTGATCTAATCTGATAATAGAGGACAGTTTCCTAATTATATCGAAACTGATGAATTTATTGTGGGCAGGGGTGGCCCTGCACAGAATACAAGTTGTATCCAAAGCTTCCCTACCACTCTTGGCTATGTTAATCTTCTTACTAATATAATAATTGCATCTTAACCTCAATGAAGAGATCATTATGCTTTTGAGAATGATCCTGTGTGTCATGAATCATATACAGTGGGGTATGCTATAACGAACGGATCCTACTACGAATATTCCTATAACGAACGGTTTTACCTATAAAATTGAGAATGCTATAACGAACAAAACTCCTACAACGAACATTATTTACAAAAATTTTTTTTTTTTTTTTTTTGTCTAATTTATTGTTTTTTTTATTACAAGTATTAATGATATTCTTTATTTCAGGGGTTTAGATGCATATTTATGCACTTTTTTTAAATTTTTACAATTTTATATTATATTTTTCAGTGTTAAGTGGTTGTATTTGGGGGCCTGGAATGGATTAATCCTATAACGAACAAGGTTCTAGAACCAATTAGATTCGTTATAGCATACCCCAATGTATACCTTTAGACTAGCTCATTAAGAATACATACAGATGATACTGAACATACCATCACATGAAGCTGTACTTCATATAGTATTAATTTTCCCTTGGTATATATAGTTCCTGGTGGACTGGGGTGGAGATGGGGCCACCAGATGCAATCCTTGGTGTGACAGAAGCCTTTAAACGGGACACAAACCCCAAGAAGATGAACCTGGGTGTAGGTGCTTACCGTGACGATAATGGCAAGCCTTTTGTACTACCCTCTGTTAGAAAGGTCAGTCACAGTTGCTCTTTCAGTATAAACTTGGCTTATTGCATTGTGTGTGATCCCTAATAACAGTTGGAGTGGGTGGTGCTTATAAGGCAAGGGACAGCTGGTATCAGGGTGTCCTAAATATTGTCTTTAGTATACTATGTTAAAATTTATTCATTTTATTTATTATTTTTACTTTTTTGTGCAATAAATAGGAAAATGCCAGTCATGGCTGCACGACCCATATATGAGTCTCCCTGATTGATTCCTTGCTCTTTTATTAACAAGTTTATTATATACGTATACATGTATATTTATATTCCAGTAATGTTTAATCCCAGATAGCACTACATATTACAAGTGGGATAGTATGAGGTAAAGAAAACTGCATAAAAGGTCATGTGGCAAAAGATGTAGCGATGAACAAGAAAACTTGGCTTAAAGAAAAATGAATTGAAGAGGATTACTGGAATGCATGGATTGGTGAGGATAAATGGAGAGAAAATCTTCAGATTTATTGTGGAAGGTAAATGCCATGAACCATTGTGCTACAGTAGAATGAATGAATAACAGTAAATGAAAGGAGAGATTAACCGCTTTTGATACTGGTCACTATGTACACTGAAGCTGGAGAGGGGTTGCTGTGATGCTGAATGCAGAGCTCATCTTAACAAGAATAATAAGATATGGAATCAGATAAAAGAACGAAAGAGCAAGGAGTGACTCGTTGATTTAGCTTCATCCTTTTTTGTGGTTATTTTGAATTATCACTTTACTGTATATCTGTAGTAGATGCATCATCACATCAGTGAACTCGCCAATTTTTTCTCTTTATTGTTTTATGTGAAAAGACTTTTTGGTTCAAATATTCTGTAATTGAAAAAGAAATTGTAGATTTGTCTGTGTGATAGTAGGCCTCATCTTGTAACCAGCACCGATTAAATTTTTGCAAGTTATGGTGGGTACCAAGGACACCAAATGGGGCAAAGCTTAGTTGTGTCAGTTGTACAGTGGTGGTGTGCTTGTCTCTACCTACGGTGTTTGGGGTTGGATGTGAGAAGGGTGCGAACCAGCATGACCAGTGACATCCTTATTAAACATGATTGTTTGTTTTTTCTCCAGGAACTCCAGTTTCATTGTATTAACACTGGACCAATGGGGAATGCCCTTAGCAGACCACTAGGGAGATCACTTAGGTATATCTGATAGAGCTATCCCCAGTATAAATATGTATGCATAATTAAAAAGAAATACAGTCGACCCTCGTTAAAACGGACTAATAGGGGGGGGAAGGGTGTCCGTTTTAGCCGATTGTCCGAATTAACTGATTTAGGGGTTAATATTGCATTATACAGCTATGTGTATGTTTATTTGAGTGCCCCGTCATAAGAGTCCGTTTTCTCTCACTTCAGCACTCCTGAGTCGTCCGTTTTCTCTTAATCTTAGAGTGCACCAGAGCCTGTTATATCTTAGTAGTGACACAGAATTTGATATTGCAACTGGGGTTGCAATTGTTGAGGCAACTTAGGTATGTCTGATTACAGTTGGAATATTCAAGATCCATTGTGAGTGATGTTTAAAGCTTCAACTGTCTTTATGGTTGGTAAAACTTGTCAAGTCTGTCAGTCTGAATGGCATGTGTGAGGCCTTGTGTTTGTACAACCGCTAATTATATAAATATATAATGTTATGATAATTATCAGAAACACATAGGCATAACGAGGTTTATTACAAAGTGATGAAAAGGATACAGTGACCCCTCGGTTAATGAACTCAATCCGTTCCAGAAGGTCGTTTGTTAACCGAAAAGTTCATTAACCGAAACCATTGTTTCAATGGGTTTTTGGGTAATTGGTTCCAGCTCACCGAAAATTTCCTAAATTCAACAAAAATGGTAGAAAAGTTCACTTACTTTTAGGTGTGTATGTAGAAGGCTCCTGGATGATGATGATGATGATGATGATGGGATTTAGAATGGGGGTGGAGGAGAAGGAAGAAGAGAAGGCATTGGGGTGGAAGAGAAGTCACCCCATGGCGCCATTTCACCCATAAAATTGTAGCTCTCTTGGTGTAATTCAAGATTATTTTCTTTAAATCAACACTGCACTGCATTATATATTGTCAATATGTAAAATATATTTCAAAATGACCAATAATTTGCTTGGAAACACAGAAAAAAAGCATTTAGTTGAAGAGAGACTCAAGTAAGATGTTACCTCCAGTGAAAACAGAGAGAGACTAATGCCTGTTTGCTGTGTTAAGAGGCTGGATGCCGCGCATTAAACTAGTCACTTTACCTTCAATTATGTTCAATAATTGTTAAAATGATTAAAAAATTGAATATTAAACTTTTAAAATTATTGAATAGTATAAACTTCTTGATATTTACTAAAATAGTAAGGAATTTAAGCCCTAGAACCGATTAATGTATTGGCGGACTGATACTAAAGTTGGTTGCCCGGTCAGTGCAAGCGAAAACATGTTGAGGTCGGTTCGTAAGAAATTCGTTAACCGAATTTTTGTTCGTTAACCGAATTGAAGATCCTTATGGAAGGCAGTTCGTTAACCGAAATTTCGTTAACCGAGGCGTTCGTTAAACGAGGGGTCACTGTACTGTACAGTGGCTAGTCCACAAAACATGTAGCCATGTCTCTTTATTTGAGTGCCCCGTCATAGGAGTCCGTTTTCTCTCACTTCAGGACTCCTGAGTCGTCCGTTTTCTCTTAATCTTAGAGTGCACCAGAGCCTGTTATATCTTAGTAGTGACACAGAATTTGAAATTGCAACCCCAATTGCAACTGGGACAATCCCAGAACCAGAAATTTGATATGGACAGTTCAGATTTCATCCGATTTATCCGAAATCCGGATTAAAGGCGTCCGAATTAACGAGGGTCGACTGTAATTAAAAACGCATAAACCGAGTTTCTTTAGGCTATTCAAAATTACGGTACAGTGGTCCCTCGGTTAACGAGCACAATTCGTTCCAGAAGGTCGTTCGACCGAAAATTTCATTAACCGAAACCATTGTTTCAATGGGATTTTGGGTAATTGATTCCAGCTCACCGAAAATTACATGCAAACTAAATGTAAATGCAGTAAAGTACACTTACTTTGAGGTGTGCATGCAGAAGGCTCCTGGTTGATGATGATGGGAATTAGAATGGGGGTGGAGGAGAAGGGAGAAGAGAAGGCATTGGGATGGAAGAGAAGTCACCCCATGCTGCCATTTCACCCATAAAATTTTAGTTCACTTGGTGTAATTCAAGATTATTTTCTTTAAATCAACACTGCACTGCATTACATATTGTCAATATGTAAAATAAACTTCAGAATGACCAATAATTGTACAGTTGTACCCCACTTAACGCGGTCAATTGAACCCAGAGGGTCCCGCGTTAAGTGAACAACAGAACATATGGGATTAATTCCAATAGAAACCGGCCCGACCCCCAAACTCCACTTTTTGAAGGCACATACCTATGTTGTAGTAAAAATAACATCTTAATTTTATGATGGTACATGCACACAATTAATACTTAAGAGAAATAGAGAAATACAGTCGCCAAGTTAATGTCCATTCAAATAATGGACTCAACTCCCTCCCCCTCTCACACTACACAGCCGGCTAACAGATGGTCGGTCGGTCCCTCCCTCCCCCCCCCACCCCCCACCAACCGTCCCAAGGAGATGTGTGGGATAACCTCAAACTAAAGTTAGGAAAATATAATTGACATTGCTGGATTCCTTGTAAGACCAGGAATATTTTGAATATAAATGTCATATATTTTGCACAAAAGATAACATAGTTACCTAGAGAAAAATTTTTATCTAAAAATTGTAAGTTTAAAGCAAAATATATGATGTTTATATTCAAAATGATCACCAAATTATAAGAATTCCAGCAATGTAAATTATATTCTGACCGGGTAATTTGTATGAATTTTATGAGCTAAAACAAATATCTTCAGTTAATAAAAAAAAAATAATCTTCACGACACTATCTGTCAATCAAAGTACCCCACCTTGCCTCCCCCCCTCTTCCAACCGCGCGGTCAGTCCCAACCCTCCCCCCCACCCCCCACCAATCCTCCCTTCCAGGGTTTTTAACATTTAGTATTAAATAATACCTCAGATTAAAGTTAGGATAATATAATTGACATTGCTGGATTCCTTGTAAGACCAGGAATATTTTGAATATAAATGTCATATATTTTGCACAAAAGATACCATAGTTACCTAGAGAAAAATTTTTATCTAAAAATTGTAAGTTTAAAGCAAAATCTATGATGTTTATATTCAAAATGATCACCAAATTATAAGAATTCCAGCAATGTAAATTATATTCTGACCGGGTAATTTGTATGAATTTTATGAGCTAAAACAAATATCTTCAGTTAATAAAAAAAAATAATAATTCTTCACAGGGTAACAGATGGTCGGTTGGTCCCTCCCTCCCCCCCACCCCCCACCAACCGTCCCAAGGAGATGTGTGGGATAACCACTAAATTTTAATAAATAATACCTCAAACTAAAGTTAGGATAATATAATTGACATTGCTGGATTCCTTGTAAGACCAGGAATATTTTGAATATAAATGTCATATATTTTGCACAAAAGATACCATAGTTACCTAGAGAAAAATTTTTATCTAAAAATTGTAAGTTTAAAGCAAAATATATGATGTTTATATTCAAAATGATCACCAAATTATAAGAATTCCAGCAATGTAAATTATATTCTGGCCTGGTAATTTGTATGAATTTTATGAGCTAAAACAGGCAGTCAGGCAGGGTGGCGGTGGGGCAAATCTAAAAATAGCGTCTCGGACACTCACCGCGTATATGTGGAAAAAATCCGCGTTAAGTGAAAGTTCAGCTTTGGCAAGGCACCGCGTATATGCGAAAACGCGTTAAGTGAAACCGCGTTAGGCGGGGTAAAACTGTACTCTGAAATGTAAAAAGAGTTTAGACTCGAGAGAGTCTCAAGCAAGAAGCTTCCTCCACTGAGCAGTGACACAC